AGCTACCAGGATGTCATCACTGGACGAGTTGATTCGCCAGTAGTTGTTCACCTGCACGTGAGGGTGAGGGGACGCTGTGCCTACGGGGACTTTGCTGCGCATGGTTCAGCCTGCCGAGAGCAACGGTTGAGCTAATCTCAACCTTCTTGAGCTCAAGCCCGACTACCCCCCCCAGCCATAGTGCCCCTTCCAAAGGCTGCGGAGCCGCTCCTCTACGAGGAATCTCCTCGTAGAGGACAGCACATGATAGCCCTCACGCTGCCATCGTGCTGCCAGCAGCGTTCTGGAAGCATCCATGCGCTGCTGGCAGCAAAACGACGCTGGTAGCATCATTAGATGTTGCCAGCACGGAGAAATGTTTCCAGCACAGGCAGCTTTGCTGCATCCCTCACGTGGCATGTGGTGGCGACGCATGCATCACCACCGTGGTCGGCCGAATTCAATGAATCTGGGTGGTTTCTACACACTTTGCAAATGTTAGAGTTCATATAGAATTTTCCATTTATAAGACTTATAAGACACCCTAAACCGTCTCAAATACAAGACAACCCAAGCATTTTTTCTAGTGTATAAGATAAGACATATATGCCTTATATCCGGGCGATGACGGTAGCTATTAACGAGTAGATGCAATCAAGGGAGAACATCGAGGAGATCATATGGTAATTCCGGGAGAATCTGCCGGAATCACCTCCCTCCCACCTTTTCGCTGTTGCCACGCTGGTAGATCGTTCACTAACAAGTGGCCAAAGAGGTGCCACCTGGCAATTTCAACGGGGTGAAAATGTTGGCGTCGAAACTCGCGTTCTCGCCTCTGACTGTGATGTTAAACCAACTCTGAAAACACCCAAGCTGTCCATTTATCAAAATCCTTATAAAAACAAAATGTCATATGAATAGACCCGGGTGCTATGTAGCTTTTTCCGATGAGAAGACACCCCCTCATTCTTTTCCTGTATTTATCATAACACCCTAGGGTGTTATGTTCGGGAGAATATGTCAAAATATTATATTGTGTGTGTTGTGTAGGATGTAGTAGGGTAGCCCATATGGGGTACAACCCAATTAGTACTTGTACGACATATGGGTTAGTACTTGTACCACATTTATGTTCAATGCAATCATTCCTGTTCGTTAGTTTCTTACATCGTTTCAGAGCAGGTCCTCTCCTAGGACCGTTTTTTTTTAGGACCCACCGAATTGCGCTACCCCACACGTCGCGCCGCCCTGTTAGCGCCGCGCTGCCCTGCCCTGCCCTGCGTCGCGCTTCCTGTGCACGCCCTGCCTGCGTCGCGCAGCCCGCGCACGCCCTGCCCGCGCGCCGCACGCCGCCGCGCCGCGCCGCCCTGCCCGCGCGCTGCTCACCGCCGCGCACCCTGCCCTGCCCGCGCGCCGCTCGCCGCGCCGCCCTGCCCGCGCGCTGCTCGCCGCCGCGCGCCCTGCCATGCCCGCGCGCCGCTCGCCGCCGCGCCGCCCTGCCGGCGCGCTGCTCGCCGCCGCGCACCCTGCCCTGCCCGCGCGCTGCTCGCCGCCGCGCCCCCCTGCCCGTGCGCTGCTCGCCGCCGCGCGCCCTGTCCTGCCCGCGCGCCGCTCGCCGCCGCGCCACCCTGCCCGTGCGCTGCCCGCCGCCGCGCTGCCGCCCTGCCCGTGCGCCGCTCGCCGCAGCGCCGCCGCCCTGCCCGCTCGCTGCTCGCCAACGCGCGCCCTGCCCTGCCCGCGCGCCGCTCGCCGCCGCGGCGCCCTGCCTGCGCGCCGCTCGCCGCCGCGCCGCCCTGCCCTGCCCGCGCGCCACTAGCTGCCGTGCCGCCCTGCCTGAGCTCCGCTCGCCGCCGCGCCGCCCTGCCCTGCCCGTGTGCCGCCCTGCTGGCTGCCGCCCTGCCCTGATCTGCATGTGCGCCGCTCTGCTGGCAGCCGCCCTGCCCTGCCCTGCATGCGTGCTGCCCTGCTGCTAGCCCGCCCACCTGCCCTGACCGCTATGGCAACTCTCAGTGTCCTCACCTTCGATCCGGAGGGCCGCCCGATAGAGTTCCATGCGTGGCTGCTCGATGAATTACAGCTGTTCCTACTGAGCGATTCTAGGGACGGCGTTTCACTGTTTGACCTCACGTCTGGAGCCTCTCCCGCCGCAGCTGACAGACGACTCGCTCACAGTGGCTTACCCGTGACGCTACTGCTCGCCAAGCCGTTTGCAACCACCTGCCGTTAGCCGAACGCGCTCACTTCGGACAGCACAAGACTGCTACAGCCTTGTACGACGCTGCAGTCGCTCGTTACTCCTCCCCGGCCACTGCTGCTCTAGGCCGCCTTCTACTGCCCTACCTATTTCCCGAGCTGTCCGCCTTTGCCACAGTCGCCGACTAATCACCCACCTTCGCACTAGTGACACTTGCTACTGCGCCGCGCTTCTCGTGGCACTCCTCGCACTCCCTTCTTGGAGGGGTGTTCGCCCTCCCCCCTTGTCCCTTCAGTCGCCTCTGCTGCAGCTGTTGACTACCTTCGTGCTGAGGAGGTAGGAGCTGCGTCTGCTCCTAGTGGGAGGAGCCGCAGCGGTAGGGGCAAGGGAGGCAGGAGTGGTGGGGGTGGCAGCGGTGGAGGCGGTGGTGGGGGCGGTGGAGGCGGTGGAGGTGGCGGTGGTGGCGGAGAGAGTGGTGGTGGGGGTGGAGGCGGTGGTGGCGTCAGTGGGAGTGGTGGCAACGGCAGTGGTGGCGGCAGTGGGAATGGTGGCGGCGGCATTGTTGGCGGCAGGGGTGGTACCAGTCAGAGGGGAGGCATTGGCGGTGGTACCAGGCAGAGTGAGACCCCTTCGCCCCAGGAACTTCGTGAGTGGTTTGCTCAGCGTTGGGAGTCTGGGGGTAGTGTTCACTGCCAGTACGTCATTCATACAGGTGACCCCACTGGTCACACATGCGGGAAGGTTGGTCACTCCCAATCCCGCTGCTTCTCCCGTCTTACCGACGCCTTTCGCGCAGAGTTTCCCGACGCGACTGAGCTCCCCCGCTGGGCAGAGCTACATTGGAGGGGTGTGGATATCTTTGCTGTTGACTATGATGCTATCCTTGCTGCCATGTATGCATTAACTGTTAGTGCTGAGGGTGACTGTTACCTGTGTATGCCGCCCGACCTAGGTATAGAGGCTGCTGCTCTAGGTGCTAGTGAGTTTGCTCTCTCTGATACTGCGCCTGCTGAGGCCTTGCACACCTTCACGCTTGACTCAGGTGCTTCCCGTTGTTTTCTTCGCGACAGTACCACACTCACACCGCTCCCTGCACCTGTTGCTGTCTCTCTGGCTGACCCCTCTGGGGGGCCCACTCCTTGCACGTTCCTCCACTTTTCTCCCGTGTCCGGCGGTTCCGTCTGGCTCCATCGTTCTCTATGAACTTGGTGAGCAACGCCGTCCTTCAGGATGTATGGGTTGACACCTTTATTCCACGAGGGCTGCGTGTGCCGATCTGTACGTGCTCCCGGACTGGCCGGCACCTTTCCACGTTCACCCGTTGGCCTGGGTCGAGTCTATACACACTGACTACTGTGTCTCCTCAGATATCTGCACCTGCGTCTGCGTCAGGTCAGCTAGCGGCCCCCTGCTCGTGTCGCGCCCTAACGCACTAGTCCCTCCTTTGGCACCACCGCCTTGGTCACCCCTCAGTGCAGCGCCTCCGTGGCATGCACTCCTGTCTCCTTGTCTCTGGTCTTCCCAGGTCTCTGCCTCCCCTCCCACCCTTGCCTGCCCCTCCCTGCCTTCCCTGTGTCGAGGGGCGGCAGCGCGCCGCTCCTCACTCCTCCTTGTTTCCTCCTTGTTTCCTCCACATGGACATGTGGGGCCCAGCCCGCGTCCGTGGACAGGGCCGCGGGCGCTAATTTCTGCTGGTTGTTGACGACTACTTGCGTTACACCACGGTCTTCCCCTTGCGCAGCAAGGGGGAGGTCCCTGATGTTTTGATCCCTTGGATCCGCGCTGTCCGTCTCCAAGTCCGCGAGCGGTTCCACGCGGACCTTCCAGTCTTGCGTCTGCACTCTGACAGAGGTGGTGAGTTTTCCTCCGACCTCTTGCGGGGCTTTTGTCGTGGGGAGCGCATTCTCCAGTCGTTCACGCTTCCGGCCTCTCCGCAGCAGAATGGGGTTGCTGAGCGCCGCATTGACTTAGTCATGGAGGTCGCTCGTACCTCCATGATCCATGCAGCTGCCCCCTATTTTCTGTACCCGTTTGCGGTCTGGTACGCTGCGCATCAGCTCAACCTCTGGCCCCGTGTCTCCTTGCCGGAGACCTCGCCTACACTGCGTTGGACGGGGAAGGTTGGCAATGCGTCGGTGTTCCGGGTCTGCGGATCTCGTGCCTTTGTCCGCGATACGTCCGCGGACAAGCTCTCCTCCCGCGCCATTCCCTGCGTCTTCCTTGGCTTTCCCCCTGACGCGCCTGACTGGAAGTTTTACCACCCCACCTCGCGTCGTGTGCTGCTCTCAGGACGTCACGTTTGACGAGTCGGTTCCCTTTTACCGTCTCTTCCCCTACCGCACTGCCCCTCTCCCCCCCCCCCTTGCCGATCTTCTTCGCACCAGGTCCTCCTCCGGTAGACCCCCTCCCCCCTCAGGGTCCTGCTCCCTCAGGTGTGTCTCAGGTAGACCCTGTCGAGCCTGTCGAGGTCGCTGTCGACTCTGGTGCTGCTCGGGGTGGTGCTGCTAGGGGTGCTGTGTCTGGGGGTGCTGAGCGGAGCGTGCAGAGCCTGGGGGTGCTGAGCCTGGGGTTGCTGAGTCTGAAGGTGCGGAGCCTGGGGGTGCTGAGCCTGAGGGTCCTGAGCCTGGGGGTACTGAGCCTGAGCGTGCGGAGCCTGGGGGTGCTGAGCCTGGGGGTGCTGAGCCTGGGGGTGCTGAGCCTGAGCGTGCTGAGCCTGGAGGTACTTTGTTTGCTGGAGGTCCTACGGGTGTCTCGTCAAGGAGGGAGCCTCTCTCTTCACCGCAGCTGCGCGAGTGGTTTGCTCGGCGCTGGAGCCTTCTGAGTGGCG